TTGGGGAATGGACAAGGCTTACACCGAAGAGCTGAGGGCTACATGAAATGGAAACAACTCAAAGACTTCTACTTTTTCGCATCGGTCTCTGCTTTTTCACTCACTTCACTAGAGTAGGGTTCGAGTCTTCTAAATTAATCACCGTCTACCCCAGGCAAATAACTTGCTCGAAACTGGGTTTGCGCCGTACCAGTCTAGACCGGAGGAGGCAAGGCACACACACACACGAAATCTGACGGCCGTCTTCGAGTCTAGAAAAGGGATTATACAGTATACCGGAATAGAACACCGTCACAGACAAACAACACGCACGCATGCAATGCACACATCATCGTTTATTGACACTGCTCGGCGATAAGCGCACGCGTCGCACACAACATAGCATTATCGTCGAGCAGACCGAATGTGTTCGGCAACGGATTGCAGAGAAGACGATCAGAGGAGTGTTCAGATCGGGTCCGGATGCGGCAAAAGTTATAAACATTCGCCGAGTTATAATTCATCTGCCGTTCTAAGCGTCCTTATCGTGCCTCTCGCCTCGCCTTATCCAACCCACTCTCTGCGATCCCTGCCCATCAACACTTGCCAGCATCTGCATGCGTCCTCCTCCATTTCTGCATCATCATCTAATATTCGAAACTGCTTCGAAGCAATACTTTTATCATCAAATTATCACACCATCCTTTATCACACATCTCATGCCATCCAATTCTCCGCATATCAAATGTTCTCTATAGCACCACATCAATCCATTCCTTATGAATATTAAACAGTCGTACTTGAATGTGAAATTCACGAATGGTTCCAAAAGTTGCTTGCGTTTGTGATTTATTTTATTATGCACGTCTGAGTGGATGAATGCTTTCTCAAAATCGATATCCTACACAAATCAATGTTTTAAATCATCGCTTCATATGCCCTGGGCCACTAGCACCCTTTTCAACTCCTATTCATGTGCCGCCGTTTACGAAACGACCAGAATGAATCCCAAGTTCCAAACAATAAGATGTCCGCATGACCTATGAGAAGGGAGAAGGAAGGAAGGGCTGGAAGAAAAAACGAAACAAAGAACACTAACGGCTGGATGATGAAGCGAGGGAGTTTACGGAGTGATACATTAATATGATGCAACAGGATGGACAACTCGATCAATACGTACCTGGTGGGGCCAGAGTGCTGACTTGAGCTTGTCGACGAGAGGTTAAACTCATCCAAATCAATGAACCACACCACAATTCAACCATTATGAAGAGCGCATTCATTAGGAATTATTTTCGATCATTCCAATAAAACAACTGTTTGGTAATTTATAAAAATTTCTTCACAAAGAGAGAGTGAGCGGTTCACGACGACGCTATGTAAATGGCAAATGAAAACATTTAATGTAACAGTGTGATATGCAATCAACTAACTCACTAAAAATCCATCAGTTATCGTAAAGCTGATCAATCGATGACTGCAACAGACAGACATTCAAATGTGGTGCATTTGCATATTCTTTTGTGCATTCAATTTGAGCACATCATCGAGCAGGCGTGCATTAAGTGATCATCAGTTGCTCTCTACTTCAACCAACCAACCGTCTGCTAACAATACGAGTAATTCTGTCCATTGTTCGAGTGCTCGTCAACAACCGTTCACGGTTAATCATTAATAATCACCAAACCGCCAACTCACTGCGCTAACACACCACTCATTTAGTGGCAATAACCCGCATCCCAATCAATATGTCCATTAATTGATATCCCTTACTATCAGAACGCAACTTTCAATACTAGATAAAGAAGTTTCGAAAGATACGATGAATATTTGTTTGTCTTCATAAGGTACCTCAATAACTTACAAGCAACAACATCATTGCTAATCAGCCTAATAACGGAACCAATGATTGTTTTCATGACTTTTGGCAACACTTGACACTTGACGTGATATGTGAATCATTTAGATGATAAATTTATTTATTTCTCTACCCACAATTTTAAGATCATCATTAACATTGTTATATCGTTTTCAGTTGGATACCACTGCAAATTTTTGATAAGACTCTCGTTCAAGAATTTCTCACATTTTCAAGGACATCGAATGAAACTGAACCAGAAACTAATCGAGATGTACCAGACGTACTGTACAATAATTGGTACCGAATCACTCGGAAAGAAACAAGAAATGATGATACCCATTAGATAATTTCAATTCATTTACAAAACTCAAACAACGACAACAAAAAGCCTAATTAGTGTGAATGGTGTACATAATCAGGATCATAGCTTGTTGCTAACGGATCCAATCCCGATTCGTGCGCCATACAATCATCGTAGTAAGCTTCTTTGAAGTAATATTCGTACCTGCAACAAAGACAGATGAAGATACAGAGCATATACACATTCCATTATGATGCTTTTCATTACAATACGAAACTTTCATCATGTTGTATGTCATAGAAATAACTGAGTCCACTGAAATGAAATGCATTAAGTACAGATGATAAACTGCCTATAGCTGATGATAAATGAATAGATGTGAATGAATCAAGCAGTCAAGAATCAAACCATGGCTCAGGCAACATGTGTCCTTCTCGCATTATACTCAATCCGCTAATTGGATCACCTCGTTCACGTATATATCCATAGCCGTATGGACTTTTTAGCACCTTAACAGTATTTTTATCGTTATTGTTCATTTTCGCCCGTTCAGTTTCATCCAAACGGTTAGCAGAATAAATCAAAATATCATATAAACACCAACAAAGCTTGAAGTGAATGAAATAACTGAAGATTGCTACTGGTAAAAACTGAGATATTAGAAATAATTCACTTCTCTTTTCATCGTATGAATGTAATGACCCATATCCCGAGGATTTATATACAGTTCACCGACTTCGTGCGTTAAAATGCCATCGAATGCATGGCTTCGGGCCTTTGTCTTCTGTGTAACACTGAAAGTTTCATGTATCTACGAAATATTCTAGTCATATTCAAATGATTGAATAAAATATCGATCATAGACATTGATAATACAAAACCGAAATAACCGCAAAGGTAGAAATAGGTCTGGTGACAGCAAGTGCTGTACCCTAATGAATAGTCGTGAGAAGATGCTCAAGAACAAACACTATCAACCAAAATAGAGACAATCAAATGGACGCATATAAAATACGATAATATAAACAAATAAGAATGAATGAATAAAAGAATCTTCAAAAGACGCACTAAATTCGCCATCCAGCCCACGACACCTCATCGATAAGTTGGAACCATTCCTCGAAAACATCACCCGAATGCCACTCGAAGAAATCAAAATCCATGCGTTCAATATCCTCAACAATTGTATCCGTATCACCTTTCTTCGTCCAATCGTACACCAGTATTTTCGAGTGTTTTCTAAGCATTACCTCGACTTTAGTTAAAATTACAAAACCATATTAAAAAATGTAAGCTTTATATCACTTCTTCCGACTGCTT